TTATGGAAGAAAGGTGACCAAAGTCAATATCCTCAGGTAAAGACAGACGTGGTGGGATCCAACCACAAAGAGGAAAGTTCACTTTGTACTTGATGTACTTTATTTTCTAAAACATCTAAACAATGAGTATGGTTCATGAGTTATGTTACTTTTTATAAAATTAAATTTTAAATGAAAGGCATGCTAGGAAGTTTCAAGATTTAAGTTAACAGCAAAAAACAAAAAAACGGATTATATTAGATCCAGAGAGGGAGAGCGACTGTGTGCTGAAGACCTGTGGGGTACGGAGGAAGGATTGCATGGAGGGGATTGTAACCATGGCAATGAGATGACATACAATAGAATGAATGTAAAACTAATGTTCTCCCATGTAAACTATCATATAATTAACAATAAAACATTAATATATACCTCGGAAACCCTGTACAGGGTCGCTATGGGTCGGAACCGACTCAACGGCACGTAACAACAACAACAACAATATATATATATATTAGTCTTTTCTCCATTTTTTCAAACAGATTGAAAATTTGAGGGCAACTTTTTGTCCCTCAAAGTGCCTATGTCAGTATTATGTACTAAACCAGTATGCTAATAGACTGAGTTAATTGAATTGAATAAAATCAGAAAATAAATGGAAACAAGTAACTTTGGTTTTTACAAATATTGTGTGACATGCATTTACAAGAAAATATTGGAGCTGGATTTATATTTAGGATTGCCTGTTTTGACTACATTAAAATAGTTTCACTCAAGGGTTAAAAAAAAACAAAAAAAAACAGATTATAGATTCAAAAAGGGACATAATGCAATAAGGCATATCAGAAGCCTTCTTCTTTCATACTGTATTTAAACATGCTGAACATTTTATGAACATTATAATCTTCAAAATTTCATACCAGAGTACTTATCACGTGCCTTGAAAACATTATGCTATCTCCTTAATTTGCACACATTTTTGCTATTATTCACCATTGTTATCTAACAAAGCTTTAGAATTCAAAAGGTTTATTTTTTAAATCTTGAAGTATGGGCAAGAATTCTAAACTAAAAGGGAGTGCTGTGACTCTAAGATAAGCATTGAATTGCTAACTACAAGGTCAGTAGTTCAAATCCACCAGGTGTTTCCTAGGAAAAAGATGAGACTTTCTGCTCTTACAAAGGTTTACAGGCTTAGAAACTATTCAGGCTCACAGTGAGTTGGAAGCACCTAGATGGCACTTAGCAACAACAGGGTTTTGTTTTCTATAAATTATCATACTTTTGAGAAACATATTGTTAAGGGTTAAGTTAGGTGCTGAGGAGACAGACCCCAGTCATCATAATGTTTACGGGGTGTTGACGTTGTGTCCAAATATAAGCACACCCCAGGGATATTGTAGATTCAGTTCCAGATTACTGCAATAAAGTGAGTTGCATATGTTTTTTGGTTTCCAAGTAGATACAAAGTTTTGTGTACACTTGTTGTTAAGTGCCGTCAAGTCAGTTCCGACCCATAGCGACCCTGTACAGGGTTTCCGAGGGTGTAAATCTTTACGGGAGTAGAAAGCCTCATCTTTCTCCGTGGAGCGGCTGGTAGTTTCGAACCACTGACCTTAAGGTTCACAGCCCGATTCGTAACCACTACGCTACCAGAGCTCCTCTTTTGTGTACACTAGACAGCACTTAAAAATAACAACATACTATAAGTCTATTAGGTGTACAATAACACCATGATAAATTTTAATACTGCAGAGAATTATCAAAATGCCAATAGATTTCTTAGACACAGGGTTACCACAAACCTTCAATTTATAAAAGACGCAGTATCTGTGAGACACAATATAGCAAAGTACAGTAAAGTGAGACATGCCTACGTAGTCCTGAGAGGTGAAATGAGATGTCTTTTTTAAACTGTTTTGTCTCAGGTTTCTCAAGTGAACTTTTAGGTAACCTAGAGTTCTAATATCTAAGTGCTGAATACAATAGACAGCTACAGCACTGAGTTTGGAGTACAGCAACTAAAATAAATGTATTAATTAAATACAGGTAATTTTATTATTAGCTAGAGTATTTCTTTCCCCAAGCATGCCTGCGTTTTTACATTGTTGTTTAGTGCCAACAAGTTGGTTCCAACTCATGGCAACCCTGTATAAGGTTTCTGAGGAGTAGCTGGTGGAGCTGAACTGCCAACCTTGTGGTTAGTAGTCCAGCGCTTATCCTACAGCACCACACCAGACTCTTGATATCCAAGTACTGCATATAACATAAAACAATAATACTACACTGACTTTGCAGTGCGCCAACATAAACATAAAGGTAATTACTTCCTTTCCTAAGTATGCCTGGGTTCGAAGGTACATATAAGAATAATAGGTAAGAATAAAAGCAGTTAGCAGCTCAATGCCTGGCCCCCAGTGCCACCACAGCCTTTTTCTCTTTAAAATTTCTGTTTTTTAAAAATCTGTATTAACCACTTCACCTGGTCAGTTCTTGTAATTTTATTTTAACAATTATGTTACAAGACTTGATGCAGGTAAATATTTAAACAGCCAAGTATGTTGTTGTTCAGTGTCGTCAAGTCTGTTTAGACTCACATTAACTCTGTATAGGGTTTCCGAGGAATGACTAGTGAGCTTGAACTGCCGACCTTGCAGTTCAAACTTACTTTACTGTCCAGCACATTAATCCACAGTGCCACACCAGGACTCCCTCAGTCCAGAATAGAAACTACTCTAAGCTAGTTTTATTTGGAATAAAGTGTACATAAGTTGAATATCTTTAGTGACTATGGTCTTTTAAAAGCATTTCCCAGTGACTTTTTTTAAGCGCAAACTACTCTTTCATAAATAAAGGTCACTAGATTGGAACCTTATGTGCTAAGAAATCACACCATACATTTGCTAGTATTGAAAATCTTGCACAGCTGATCATGATCACACTTGGGCCCTAATTTTCTAGCAATCCTTAAAATACTAGAAATAAGAGGAAGGGATCAAACAAGTCAGTGAAATTCAGATAATAACCTCTAAAACTATATTCCCCACAACTATATTTGGCCATGAGTCCTGATGTGGTGACGCAGGATAAGCACTCAACTTCAAGTTCAGTTTGAAACACAAGGTCAGCTGTTCAAATTCACCAGCTGCTCCTCAGAAACCCTATACAGGGTTGCTATGAGTCAGAACTGACTCCATGGCACCTAACAACAATGTATTTGGCCAACAGTTTAAATATTTTCCTGCATCAAGTTTTGTAACATACTTGTTAAAATAGTTACAAGAACTGATCAGGTGAGGTGGTTAATACACAGATTACAAGAAAATGAAATTTGTAAGGAGAAAAGAAAGAGACTGTGGTGGTGCTGAGGGACAGGCATTTAAAAACCAGCAGCCACTCCAGTGTGAAACAGATGAGGCTATCTGTGCCTGAAAAGTTGTACAATCCGGGAAATCCTCCATAGGGTCACTATGAGTTGGAATCAACTTCATGGCGATGGGTTTTGGGTTTTCTGTTCTGTTTTTTGGTGGGTGCATAAAGTATGAAGTAGAAAGCACTTTCTTTTTTTAGAAAATGTAAAGTGGCTACTATGATTATTCTCATCTTTTACCTTTTCTGCTATTATAGACGCCGTTTCTGAGCATTCTAGTGTGCAGACCACTCCAAGACACAAACTATGATTTTACTCTTAATCAAGTTGACTCACTTTCTGGGTAGCAAGAAAAAGGTAAAACTGGGCTACCTCCATCAGAATCCAGTGGATATTTACTGTTACCTGTAATGAACCACCTCACAATGTTGGCACTTAAAGGGAATGGACTTGGTGACCTGCAATCTGGGTCAACTCCATTTCTACTTAGCTAAATTGCTTAGGACGAATCACTTAATCATATTGATCCTCAACTTCTTCAACTGAAAAGCTCCAGTCATCCTTGACAGAAATATCAGGATGAACCATGATAATCATAGCACATGCACTTAAGAAATATTCAACCCATGTTAATCTTTTCCTAGGGGATGGATCAGGGGTCAGTAAAAGTGAAGTCAGGGTTTCTTGGCAAAGCAAGGTAGTTAAGATTTGCTTTGGTGCTTAAAAGAAATCTTTTTATGAGAAAATGTCTTCTGGCATAACCTCAAGCAAGTTTCTCTCCCTTTTCAGAACCCACACAGCAAAGTCTTCGGCATTTCTCATGCTTTGTATTGTCAGTTGCATTTTTATTGTATAAAATCTTGTCATTTTACCCACATTAACACTGCTCCAAGAGACAGTTTTTTTTAAAAAAATAATACGCATTGTCTAGTCCAGGGCCTCCCTCACTCCAAGTAACAAACATTTGTTGATTGATTCAACACAAAGAGGGGTGCGCTATATTCAGAGTTCCCTGACAGTTTTAAAAGGAAAAGGCCTCTTTCGCCAAACGATACTGGGGAGGTGTCTTTCCAAAGCCACACGTTTTCTTTTTGTCATCTCGCACACCGAGATTTCTCTACCAATTCCGGGAGACGGATCTGTCATATTTATGTTTATGGTGTTAACGTACGTTAAACAAACACGAAGTACAACTGAGGTCAAGGGAAGCGAAAGCGGCGCAGCAACCACACCTACTTTGGCTGCTGCGGCGCCCGGAGCCCGCAGAAGGCGAGTCAGCGGGGCTGCCAGCTCTCTGAGCGCCGCCCTTTCCTGGGAAGGCTCTCAGCTGGGGACCCAGGCAGAGACTGAGCGGTCAGGGTGGGGAATGGTGGGCCGCTCTTAGCCCTCCGCCAGAGCACGTGGGAGACTGAAGGGGGTGAGTGCCCGGCCCGAAAGGGGAGGGGAGATCCGAAGGGCAGGAGTCCGCGGCCTGCGGAGATAAGTAATCCGGCTCTGGGACCGCGGCCGCCCACGGCACCCCACCACCCGTACCCCGCCTCCCAGCTCCTAAGACCCAGCGAGAGGCGGAGCTCCGCGGGGGCCGGGCCGGCCCTTCCCAGACGAGTCCCTTAAGCCCCACCAGCGTCCCCTGCTCCCCGCCGCCACTCACGGTGCTTGCCTCCGCCGCCACCGCCGCCGCTCGGGTAGCTCAGCAATAAGAAGGGCAGCGGGGAACCCGGTGACGGCGGGGTCCTCCAGGCGCGTTGCGGCGGCGGGCGAGCTGCGAAGCCGGCGCCTCCATCGCCCGGGTAGAGAAGAAAAAAGGGGGCGGCTACCGGCGAGTCGGGTTCCGACTGAACGGCCGGGGAGGCCAGCTGCAGTCCTGTCTCGCCCTCTGGGTCCGCGTCCCTGGCAGAAGCGCTTCGCGGCTCCTCCGGCTGCCGCTCCCCGCCCCTCGCCGGCTCCTCGCTGTAACTTTCCGCGCCGGCGCTGGGCGGCGATGGGGTCTCAGCCATGCTCGGTCCCTGTTTCGCCGCCGCCGCCACTGATTCACGTCCGCGCCTGGGCGAAGAGCAAAGGTCACAGCGAGGAGCCACCGCTTCGTCCTGTCTGCGCCGCCGTCACCTTTCTTCTGGGCCGCGTGCCGGCTTCTGAGCTCCGTTGCTCAGTTCCCAGCCCGCCCCGCCGGGGTCCGAGCCAGCTGGAAGGCCGGCCCCGCCCGACGGCGGGGCCTCCCAACCAGCAGTCTCCTCGAGATTACACCTCCCGCCCCGGCCCCCCGCCTGCGAATCGGCTCCCCTAGGGGGCAGCGTTCTGTACTTCCCTCTTCCCCACCCTCCGTTTTCCTCCCGAAGCGGAGCTCCCTCCTGACCCTGGGGAGGAAGGGTGTCCTATACCGCCTCCTTACCAGCATACCCCACACGGACCTCTTACTGTATTTTCCCCAAGGTGTTTGAAAGGTGGGAGACCTGAAGAATACCTAAAGGTGTTTTTCTGTACAGTCGCCTAACTTCTTCGGTAGCTTGAAAGCACAAAGATCTGAGATGAAGAGGAGGCGACAGCTAATTTTAAAAAGGAACCCCCTTCCCCTACTCCCCCCCTCCCACCTCTGGGTATTAAACGGTACAATTTGCCTTTCATACTGGAACTTCAACCTTTGATTTCACGAGCTTTTTATGTGGGAAACCAGAGGTGTTGTCTTTTTTGCGCCACCTCTTTTGTTCCCTGTTAGATGCACTGTATAGAAATTGGGACTTCAAAAAGTTCGTGGAAAAATGGAATGGAAAGATTGTAGAATTTTTCCACGAACTTTTTAAAGCTCTCTTCTTGCTATCTACTTCAATTCCCTGGTTTTCTAGTGCTCCGGATGTGCATGTGTGCATTTTAAGCCAGTTTAGAATATATCGGAAAAGGTGTCTATTCAGGTTAGCAGTTTTCGCTTTCAATGTTTGTACTGGGTTAGTAAGTGGCCACCATTGTTTTATTTTGAATATTTGAATTAATGATTATGGATCCTTAACTAAACATTCTTTTGTAAAACCATTTCCAGTTACTATAGATACTGTTTACTCTGAATATTCTTTATTCTATGAACGTGCCCCCGTACTTCTAGCCTTGTGTTCAGTTTGCAAAATACTGGCATATAGTCCACAGACTCAATTAAAAATCATTTTGTGCGATAACACCTTGCACACTTGCTTTTAGCTCTTTTTTTTTTTTTTTTTGCATCTGTAGAGGAATTTATACTAATCAGAAAGGAGAATAAAACGTTTTTGTTGTCTCTTTTCTCTGTAAAGCACTTCTGAAATCACCACCAGAAATTACCATGAGACTCCTACTTCCACCAAATCTTTGAAAGAATTGTTGAAAATGGAAGACATTTACAAGACAATAACTTTATAAGCAGTCTTGGAGGATTTATTAAATAGCTTTTCAGTTTCTGACGTTTTCCTGATTTGTTGATTCCTAGCCCTTGGATTCCTACTCATAACGACCTTATATAGGGTTTCGACAGTGGTTGGTGGGTTTGAACTACTGACTTCGTGGTTAGTAGTCCATTGCTTATCCTACAGTACCATACCAGGGCTTACTTATTTATCCTCTTCTGGGCCCAGTTTCCTCTTCTGTAAATGAAGATCACACCACTTAATCAGAGGTGTTGTAAAGGTTGAATAAGAAATGGAAATAAAGTTTTTAAAACAGAATCTGGCATAGAATTAACTCAATTATTTAATACTTGTTTTTTTTTTTAATTTTTAAAATAAAATAGGTAGCATAGAACTTTAATAAAAACAAACGTAAGTGAGGGGAGTTCTTTTTCATCTGATTTTCAGCATTTGAAGATTTGTGGTCTTTTAATTTCAGTCTTGATGAAAGCGAGTTCCTAAAAATTTGCTTTTTAGGAAATGCAAACTGCATACTACCTTGAAGAGAAAACCTAAAAATTTCCAGATGTGTACCATATGGCTCCCCTTAAAACTGGAGCAATAAGAAATATAATTGTTGTTGTTGTGTGCCATGGAGTTGGTTCCGACTCATAGCGACCCTGTACAGGGTTTCCGAGGCTGTAAATCTTTACCGGAGCAGAAAGCCTCATCTTTCTCCCACGGAACAGCTGGTAATTTCGAACTGCTGACATTGTGGTTCACAGCCCGATTAGCAACCACTACGTTACCAGATGAGAAAATGTTGAAAATGTCAAGGATTTCATTTTACTTGGATGCACAATTAACACCAATGGAAAGGACATTGCTTTGGGAAAATTTGCTGCAAAAGGCCTTTTTAAGTTAAAAAACATAGATATCACTTTGAGGACTAAGGTGTGCATGACCCAAGCCAAGGTCTTTCAATCACTTCTTAAGTATGTGAAAACTGGAAAATGAATAAAGAAAACCGAAGAATCGATGCCTTTGAATTACAACGTGGCAAAGAATATTAAGTATACCAGAAGACCACACAAATCTGGCTTGGAAAAAATATAGCCACAATACTTCTTAGATGCCAGGATAGCAAAATTTTGCCTTACATACTTTGGGCATGTTGTTAGGAGGGTCCAGCCCCTGGAAAAGGACATCATGCTTTGTAAAGAATCACTGAAAAAGAGGACGTCCATTAATGAGATGGATTGACACAGTTGCTACAACAGTGGGTTCAAACAATTATGAGGAGGGTGCAGGACCAGACAGTGTTTCATTCTATTGTACATAGGATCCCTATGAGCTGCAACTAACTCAATGGCACCTAACAACACATCATATGGTTTTGATGTTTATTCTTAATGAATCTTTTACTTTTGTTTTTTCATGTAGAAATTTCTAACCATATTTTTGTCAGATCCCTTCACAGATATTTAGAATATATACTTAGTCCATTGTAGGTAGAAGAAAAGAGATTGGTTTGGCCAGGATCCGAATTCTAACTATTCTCAAGAAGGATGATAATCAGCCAAAGGAATCACCAACATAATGAAGTAGAAAATGCTATGTTAAATTGCCAGCCTTCTCCTTTCTTGTTAGCTAAGACACCTATACATATATAAATATTGACATGCTCTGCAATTTTGCAGTATGTTGGCTCTTTTGTCTTCCCACTATTAAAAACAATTCTATTTTTGCTTTAGGACTCTGGTATAGTGCTGTAGGATAAGCACTGGACTGTTAATCACAAGATTCACTATTCAAACCCACCAGCCACTCCTTGGAAACCCTATACAGGGTCGCTATGAGTCAGAATTGATTTGACGGCACTTAACAACAACAATTTATGCTTTATATCACTAACTGGCAGTGTAATGAATATAGAAAATAAACTGAAATATGAGACCTTTAAGATTTACGGACAAGATTATTCATGAGATTTTATTTTAAAGGTGAATGGTACTCCAAATTCCTAGTTTCTAATGTTTTTAAGAATTACAGTTCTTCATAAGAAGTAGTGACATAAAAGGCTGATTCAGTTGTTACACACATTTGTTGTTGTTGTTAGGTGCCATTGAGTCAGTACCGATCCATAGAAACCTTATGCACAGCAGAACGAAACACTGTCTGATCCTGGGCCAACCTCACTATTGCTGCCATTTGGCCAATCCATCTCGTTGGGGGTCTTCCTCTTTGTTTCTGACCCTCCACCTTACCAAACATGATCTCTTTCTCCAGCGACTGCTCCCTCCTGACAATATGTCCAAAGTATGAGAGAC